ATAGACACCCACCATGCTTTGCAAGAAGGATGAGATCCTGACCAGTGGTATGCTGGTAAATGTTTAACAACCAGCATTTAGCAGGATTTGGTGGAGCTCTGATTTGTAGCATTTGCCAATTGCTGCGGTGTAAATACTCCCACCGTGATGATTTCAAGCCTGCAACATGACATCAGGCAGCCCACGGTTTAACAATTGGCCAGCTCCAGCACATGCAGATCCTGATTCTGCGGAGTGAAACGGTCTTGGGTTTCAGTATGAGCTCTCTTGCTTACTAGCTGTGTGGCCTTGAGCAGGTTATTTAACGGCTCTGAGCCTGGCTCACGGAAGGCATCAGGATCCTTGTTTCCTTCCGTCTTGGTTGCCCAAATAGGAAAGTACGTTTGTCATGTCACTCTCTTGCCGTGTCTCCTGGGTGGAGATGAGGATGGGAGACAGTGGATTACGCTTAGAGAGGCAGTGGACGCAGCTGCCTTATACTTTTCTGAGAACATTTCCAAGAAGAGACTGGACTTTTTTTAAATGTGGGAAGACAGAGGGAAGTTTGACAGATGGAAAGGGAAGAAGTGCTGTCTAAAAGGAACTCAGTTTGGGAGAAATACAAAATAGGAATTTGAAGAGCAGATGGTGGAGATCCCCCAAATGTTAGCTTCCCTGGGAGGGAGGCAGGGAGTGAGGGGCGGGGGCCAGGGTTGCAAGAGGAAGATGTTGGTCCTTGATGTGCAGACCAACAGATAACCAGCTAAGCCTGTGTCTTGTCTGGGGCACCTCTGGGGGCCCGGCCCACTGGGGTACAACGCCATAGAAGTTAGGTGAGCATGCAAGTGTCAGGATATGGCTGTGGCCACATCCACGTCTCTTCACTGCTGGTTCAGTTTCCTCATCTGTAATATGGGGATAAGAAACCTGGCAGGAAAAGGCCACCATAAAGAGCTCAAGAAATGGCAGAAAGAGAGCTGGGGGACAGCTAAGGGTGGGGTGTGAAGAAGGACAGAGCAGATCCCATTCCCAACTGTCACACAGAGGCAGGACGAGAGGCACAGAAGCAGTCCTCTGCATGCTGCGCGATCTGAGCAACAGCTCTCCACCGGGCCTGAGTTGGGAGGAAAGCGAGTGGCAGGAGGGTGAGGAGAGCAAGTGGCTACCTTCTGGAAGCTTGAAGAAGATGCGATAAGAAGAGGAAGGACAGCTTCAGGAGAGGATGCAGGGCCCAGGGCCTGTGCTGTGTAAATGTGAGAACGTTGACCCTGGCTACCCACTGATGGGAACGAGCTGGGAAGAAGGAGCTGGGGAGAAAGAGGCAGGAAGCTGGGATCTAGGGGCGCTGCACACAGCTCGCTCTTCCCACTCCTGTCCTGCTCCCCATGCTTAGGTCCCTCTTCATCAAGTGTGTTTCTAACATGTGAGTTGATGGGGCTGAGCTGATGCTCTAGGCAGATGGCTGGGCCTGTACCTCCCATTCTGCAAAACACAGGGGCAGTTGGTGACTGTTTCTAGGCACTCCTGTGGCTTTCTGGAGCATGCCTTTCCCCACGTGCTGTGCTCTGCCTGCGGGGAGCTCTGGACGTTGTTTCCTCCTTCAGGTTCCCATCTTGGAGATGTGTCCGGCCTCCTGTAGGCTGGTGCCCTGCTGCAGCTCCACCCTGGCCCATCCTGGTCACAGCCTCCCTGCCTGGCCTGACCCCTTCCACGGCACCTCCTGGCTCTCTCACCTCATCTGCTCCCTCCAGGTTCTAGGATCTCATCCTTTGCAAGATGCCCTGTCACTGTGCTCCTTACTCGGTGGGGTGCCCACAGTCACAAGTTGTGCTTAGTGCCCCAACTGGCCATGACCCCTGGGCATTGAAACCATCAAACAGGACCTTCCCTGATGACTGCCCCTCTGGCTCTGTGCCATCAGTCATAAGGTGTGGCCATTCCGTTTCTGGAACCTGAGACCCCAGGGCTGGGGATCAGCGCTCAAAGGCCCTCTCTCCAAGCCTTTCCCAGGGGAGTTGCCCTTCCCCAGCCACAAGGGGCTCTGGCCCCATGACTTCCCAGCCAGCTGCACTGCACTAAGGTCAGCTCAGTAGGAATGCTGCCAGCCCTGCCTTCTGGTCTGCACCCAGGAAAGGGAGCTGTGAAGGTCACTGCTGAGAACTTGTCACAGTCAAACGTGAAGTGTATAACAATTTCCAGCCTGATCTTCAGAATGCAGAAAATGATGGAGCTGGAAGTGGAAGGGAACCATGGATGCTCCCAGGCCTGTCCAGGAATTTCACTGAGGGCCTCCACAGCCAGTTCCTGTGTGTTTGGCTCTTACCTAGGAGAATGCATTGACTTTTGAGTTGACTTCAGACAAGATGGAAATTTTCTAAGTGAGCCACTGCAGAGAAGGCTGAGGCAGGAGAATCACTTGAACCTGGTGGGTAGAGGTTGCTGTAAGTGGAGATTGTGCCACTGCACTCCAGCCTAGGTGACAGAGTGAGACCGTGTCTCAAAAAGAAGAAGAGGATAAAGAAAAAGAGGAAGAAGAAAAAGAAGAAGGAGGAGGAGGAGGAGGAGGAAGAGGAGGAGGAGGAGGAGGAAGAGGAGGAAAGAAACTCTGTCTCTACAAAAAAGTTAAAATATAAAAGGTAGCCAGGCTCGCTGGCCTGCGGTCCCAGCTATAAGAGATTGGAGGATCACTTGAGCACAGGCAGTTGAGGCTGCACTGAGCAATGATTACACCTCTGCCCTCCAGCGTGGGCAACAGAGTAAACCCTGTCTCAAAATTTAAAAAAAAAAAAAAATTGTGGCTGGGCATGGTGGCTCACTGCGTAATCCCAGCTCTTTGGGAGGTCAAAGTGGGCAGATACTGAGGTCAGGAGATCGAGACTAGCCTGACCAACATGGCAAAACCTGGTCTCTACTAAAAATACAAAAATGAGCCTGATATGATGGCAGGTGCCTGTAATCCCAGCTACTCGAAAGGCTGAGGCAGGAGAACTGCTTGAATCCAGGAGGCAGAGGTTGCAGCGAGCCGAGATCATGCCACTGCACTCCAGCTGGGGTGACGGAGAGAGACTCCATCTCAAAAGAAAAATGTTATTGCACATCCTCTGCCCTCCAGAAATCCACAACTTACATCACATTACTCCTAAGGGGAGTTCTCTCTGCTGCAGCCTAACAGACAATGTGAGCACTAAAATGTTCACTGACCCAACACTGTGCACCACTGCAGGCACATGTGAGATGCCTTGTGTGTACCACAAGTGAGGCAGGACACAGGTCATGTTCAGAACTTTTTAGAGAAGCAAAAGAAAAGTTGCCTTGAGTGCTCTCTAGATGTTTTCCAGACAGATTTCCATGGAGAACTTGGGATCGCGTTGCCCCATTTGTTTCCAATCCCCATGGTTGTTATTTCTACAAAAGTGACACGTCTATTACAACAGTTAACGGGTTTTGTTATTGCCCCATACTGTTCTGCAAGCTAAGACTTTGAGCATTACTTGAGATGATGGAAGGAGGGGGCATTGTGAGACAGGCAAGGCAGAGCCGGTGCTTGGAGAGTGTTACATGCAGAGGACTTGGATTCTCCTTGGGGTTTGGAGAGTTGTGGGGACGGGGCAGGTTCCGGGGAGAGACAAGCAGAAGCCTGGCGGTCTGGGGAAGTTTAATTGGTCTTTTGATGAATGGGGCTTCTGGATCTGATCTTTGAGCTTAAGAGAGAAGATGAAGATGCCTGAGTAACTTTGATTTCAACCTGGAAGAACGTTGTGGTGGAATTGTGCTCCGTGGGAGCGTAGGGTTTTTGTAAGGAGTCATTGCCAGTGGGACAGCATCCAGGCCTCCTGTTGCATTTACTGACATTTAGTTGTGAAATTTTGCAAGAAAAGACCAACAAAGACCAACAAAAGAGGCCCCAGATGGACTGTGTGGAGCATGGAGAGTTGGGGGCTGGTGACAGAATCTCGTTTGAGTGGAGATTGAATAATGACTGGCTGTTCATGGGTGGATTTGGAGAGGCTTCAGTAACAATGGATTGTTTTTCATTTGGTTTAGTTGCAAATATTAAGTAGTCAGAGTTGAATATGAAATTACTCCATGGCAATAGGAGTATGACTTGGGATTAGACACATTCAAACTCTCTGAATATTTGCCCATTGTGGTAGGAAATGCAGGGAATAAAATGCAGAGGCGTTGGAAACCTCAGAAAACCAGTGAGGGGAAGAGGTACCCTAAAGCCCAAGTGACACCACTGTTGAACCCAGAGTGCAACCAGAGAAGGACGGGGCCTCACAAGTCAAGGCCTCAGGGCACTTGAGCAGCGGTCGGTTGGAGAAAGCAGCAGGGATTGTGACGAGGCCAGTGGAGACCAGAGTGGGTGAGAGAGGCAGCCTGTGAAACAGGCAGGATATCCCAGTGTCCTGGATCTTGGTGGCCTTGGGTGGCAGGTGGGGGAGAAGCTAAATGGAAGAAGGTTCAGGAAGGGGCCTCTTGGGACTTTGAGTAAAGTGAGGAAAAGGCAGAAGTGTGATTCCAGCACCTTCTCAGAGGAGAACAGTGTGGAACTCAGGGCAATGAGTAAACCCTTGGTCTTCACTATTGATGAAATAGTGAATTGTGATTACTCCAGGAGCACAGGCTGCTAGAAACAGGGACACCAATACTGGCCACACATCTGTGTGCCACAAGGATTGCATGATTCCTTAAGATGGAACCCACAAAGGCCTGCTTACAGCAGATGTGGTGGCCCCGCCTCTCAGCCCCCTAGCAAAACACACTGGGCTCAGTATCACCGTTGAGCCACTGAGCTCCCAAAAATGGCATATGGGGTTGTCAAAACAAAAGCTCCATCTCCCAAGCCGTCAGCATAGGGAGCAGCTGTGACCCCCAAGTTCGGTTCCTGATTCTGTGTTTCTTTCTCCCTCCTCCTTTAGATCGTGGTGTGTGTGGGCGTCTCCTCAGCCGGCAGCTTCTCTGTGCCCTGTGGTTGATGTCCCAGGTTTTGACTGTGTGGGTTTGTGTCTTTCCGGCAGGTGTCTCCTCTGTGACTTCCCTGATGTCCCTGGCTTGGGTGCTAGCCTCCTATCACAAGCTGCTGCGGGACTCCAGGGACGACAAGAAGAGCATGAGCTACAGAGGGGCTATCATCCACCTCTTCTGGCGCCTCTTCACCATCTCATCCCGAGTGATCTCTTTTGCCCTCTTTGCTTCCATCTTCCAGCTCTATTTTGGGATCTTCGTGGTGGTTCACTGGTGCGCCATGGCCTTCTGGATCATCCATGGCGGAACAGACTTCTGCATGTCCAAGTGGGAGGAGATCCTCTTCAACATGGTGGTAGGGATTGTGTACATTTTCTGCTGGTTTAACGTCAAGGAAGGGCGGACTCGATATCGAATGTTTGCATATTATACGATAGTCTTGACCGAGAATGCTGCCTTGACGTTCCTTTGGTATTTTTATAGAGACCCGGAGACCACTGACTCCTATGCGGTGCCAGCACTGTGTTGTGTCTTTATTAGCTTTGTGGCTGGGATCGCACTGATGCTCTTATACTACGGTGTGCTGCATCCCATGGGGCCACGAGTTAAGATCCTTGCCAGCTCCTGTTGTGCCGAGCTGCTCTGGGGCATCCCTTTGCCCCCCGATGTTGAGCCCATGGCGCCTCAGACCCCTGGGTACCAGGGGACCCAGGTTACGCCCACCAGAGCCGTAACGGAACAACAGGAGGATCTCACGGCTGACACTTGCTTGCCCGTTTTCCAAGTGAGACCCATGGGGCCCCCTACCCCGTTGGGGCGTCCTTACCCCCCAGAAGGGCCCCTCATTAAGATTGACATGCCAAGAAAGCGATACCCAGCTTGGGATGCTCATTTTGTAGACAGGAGGCTAAGAAGGACTATTAACATTCTGCAGTATGTCACCCCCACCGCAGTAGGCATTCGATATCGAGACGGACCACTCCTCTATGAGTTGCTACAGTATGAGTCTTCACTCTAAGAGCATCTTGACCCAAGTTGAGAAGGGGACTTTAAGTTTGGTTTGCGGTAAACACCGCTTGCAAGAAATAAAACCCTCCCTTCCCCCAATACACAGAACCACCACCACCACCACCACCACTACCATCACCGCCACACCAACACCACCACTACAAAAAAAAAATAATAAGTCACAACCCCTTCAAATAAGCTTTCTTTCCAGTCGCTGTATGTATACAAAGATATTCTCTATGTTTTGTAAGTAAAAACAAAAAGAAAACCTTTCTTTTGTTTTTTACACATAAGAAACAGTATTGAAAAATCCCACGCTATGGTTCATAGAGTGGAGAAGGAGGAGTTGTCTCCACTCCAAGAGAAAAAAAAAAGTTTTTTACCTTACACCAAGTGTAGATCATTTATGGGATTGGTGCTGATTGAAAGAACAAAACAAAACAAAACAAAAACACAAATAAACAAAAACCTTCAACTGCCTTATGCCCTTAGGTGCTGAGTTTCATTAAGTACTGTCACGTTTTCTCATGCAAAACTCTCTGGTGATTTTTGCACCAGGAGAGGGAAAATCAAACAATTAAATGAAACAAATCTAAAAGCGTAACAAAAACCAACCGACAAATACAACACAAAGCAATTATTCTTCCTATCTGATTATTTGTATTGAAGAAAACAAATTTACCAAAAGCAAACGCATAAAACCCCTCCCTCTTATTCAGTTTTTTCCGCTCCTCTCCTGACCTTCTCCCCACTTCGCAGAGCCTTCTAGGAGCTCAAGGGCTGTTTGAAACTCAAATGGCTGGAGAAGCTACTTGAAGGCTGACTATGTGCCATTTTAAACATTTGCCTAGCAAGAATCACATTCGTTTCCCAGTGAAAAGCAAACCAGAACAAAACAAAAGGCCACCCCAATAATTCGGTAAGGACAGGACATTCTAAAGCCAATTAAAGGAGATTTCTATATACATAATCAGTAATAATAAAACTCAGCATAGTAGCAAAAAGAATGACATCAATTTAAAGGCACAATACTTAATCAGTGACTGGCAACAACAATTAGTTCCATCATTTTAAGGCTGTGAATGGTAGACATTTATCACATGTGATATTGTGTAAAGTCTCTTCTGTTTCCATTTGGTGGGAAGCCTTAAATTGATCTGGAAAGAATTCTTCATTTTTCATTTGTGCTTTTTTTTAAAAAAAGAAAAATAACACAAAGAGGAAAACTAGAACATATATATATGTGTGTGTGTATATATATATATATGTGTATATATATATACACACACACACATATATATATAAAAAGTCAAAATTGTAATAACTGACCCATTTCAAAGACTGTTTGGTGCTTCTGTCTTTCACCATTGTGGTTGGCTGAAAATCATTCAGCTCACCTGGTGCATCTGGGTTGAATGGGAAATTTTGTGTGTGTAGTGTGTGTGTGTGTGTGTGTGTGTGTGTGTGCGCCCATAGCACACATATATATGTGTGTGTCCCTGCTGCGAGGTCTTGCCAGAGATATAAAAAACTGATGTAAGACGGACTTGGATTATGGCTTGGTTCAGCAGAGCATGGGGGCGGGGTCTCTGGAGTTGTGGGGAAGGGATGCCTCCTGCCCACGAACCCTGGTTTGGGTGGTGAGGCCGACACCAGCAGTGGACTCCAGGCCTTAGAGGCCGTGCTGTTTGGGTGAGGATTTGATTCTGCTGTTTGTTTTCTTATTGTATCAAGTTGAATTTCTGCAGGTGTTGCAAGTATGTTCAATCATTTTTAAAAGTTTTATTTTTGAAAGTATTGTTTCTTTAAAGAATATTTCTGTTCTAGGGCATCGTTTCAATCCCATCGTGTCTCTACTTGGGCACAAAAAAAAAGGAAAAGAAAAAAATCACAAAAAAGATATATATATAAGTATATATATATATACACACACATATGTATATGTATATATATATATATATATATATATATAGACTCACACACAATATTTTTAAGTAAATACTGTTAGTCTTTGCTGTGTGTAGCTGCGATTTTTTTTTCCAAATATACCTGTTTAGGGTGCAACACCTCACATTGAACTGTTCTTAACAGATGTTCAATAACTGAGGGATTTTTTAATGTTTGTGGAGTTATTTTTATTTTTAAACAATTATTATTCAGTGAGGCTTCTCCTTCCCACCCCTTTCATTGTTTATCTAAAACCTTTTTTTTCTAAAGAACAAGTTTCAAATATCAGTTGTGAAACTGAATGCTCTCTTCTTTGTCTGGACTTCCTGGACTTCATGCGTCCTTACTAAGCATCATGGTGTGGTCCTCTCCCATCCCTCACTCGGGGGTTCCCTCAGGCCTCCCTGGTGGGCAGGAGGAGGAGGAGCCCCCATCTCTAGGAAGCAGGATGAACAGAGCACACACAGGCCAGGCGGCAGTGAAGACCAGCCAGCAGGACCCAGCATGCCCGTCAAAGGGACCCACATGTGGGCTCCTGGAGAGTTACTTGGGAATTGGAATCTAGTCAGAGGCTCTTTTCTGAATTGCATCAGCACGCTGCCTCGCAAGGGCTTCATACCTGAGCTCCGTGGTGTACTCTGCTAGGCTGGGGAAGGTGAGGCCATTGGAGGATGGGGCATCCGCTTTAGCTGGTGGGGTCCCACCTCTTGTCTGCCTTGGGTCTGGGGCTCTTTGCACTTGGAGCTGGCCTATATCTGTTGTTGACGCATCTTCCTCGAAATACTCTCACGTGTCTCCTCGGGACGCCTGCCACTTCTGCTTGTGTGTCTGTTCTTGGATTTCTTCCTTTCTTCTTTTTGTTTCAGCACAGTCACAGGTTTTGATTTGCCACCTCTCTTTCTCTCTTGCACACTTAGCGCATGTGTGGGCATCCTGCCACGTTTACATGAAACTTACAAAGAGAATGGTGGACGCTGAGCTGACCGTGAGCACCAGGAGTTGGGATGGCAACTTCCAACTCAGGGAGGGCCTCCAGGGTCTTAGCTGCTAGGAACCAATGAGATCACAGGACATTTCAGCAATCTCCATTTTCACACTTTTCGCTTGGAGAGGCATCCTTGCCCCTCCCTGGAATCCCTTCATCATGCCAGGGCTTTCTTCACAAAGGAAATGAAAATAGGTATCTGTGAGTAGCAGCAGGGAAAGGAAGAAAGAAAAGCAAGGAAAATAGAGAGCAAGGCAGGGAAGGGGCAGGGGAGACCTGACGGCAAGGACCGGGCTATCGCTGTGCTCTTACCATCATCCTCTAGCCGCTCCCCATGTTCCCAGCCACCATGAAACTCTCTGCCATTATCTCCCCTGGGCTCTTCTCTTCTCCCGTGGGCTCTTCTCTTCCCCACAGGCCCTTGCCCTTCCAGTGGCTGGCCCTGGGCGTCAAGGCAGGATTTCATACACACTGAGTGCCGAAACTGCCTGGTGACGGTCTCAAGACCCAGATGACTTTGATCCTGAAAGCCCAGATACTTAAGGCTGCCCCGTGGCAGGGTCACTCTGTCCCACACTGGGCACCAGCATTTAATCTACCATTTGTCTGAGTCCCTGACATCCAGAATGGGAGCTCCATGTCTCTTAAGGCTATGAGGAGGGGTACTGGGGAGGCTTCAGGCTCTCAGATCAGCCCCCACTGGCCTCACTCACCCCAAAGCTTCCTGTGTTGCTAACGCTTTCCTGCACTCTTGCCTCTGGAGGGCGTCACCTCGTTCTGCAGGGTCAGGCCTAAGCCAACAAGATGGGTACCAGGAATGAGATGGGTAGGACACTCACCCAAGCAGATCTGGAGCCAGAATGAAAGAGGACCCATCTCCCTTGCCCAGACACGCTGCCATCACAACACAGCCTTGGGCAGGGAAGATGACATTTCCCCATGGCCTGGGCATCCCCCACACCACACCTCCCCAGGTGCAGAATCATTCAAGACTTGATGATCCTCATGTCCCCAGCCCAGTCCCTCTGCAGCCGTGGCCCCTCTGAGTCCCATGATCCTGTCTGGCTCATGGTCATGAAGGTGATTCTTCTGGCTGGGGGGCGTCTCACACCACGGATGTCTGACCCTGTCCAGATATAAGCCTGATTCTCAGAAAGTAGAATTTACAGGTTTTTAAAAAGCACCAAATTATATCATTTTTTCCATTCTTCCTCCAGTTTTTCTCTCACTGCACAGAGGGGCGGAAGAGGAGGTCTCTGATGCGGATCTGGTTTGAAACCGCACAGCCTCGCTCCTTCCTGTACATCTAAACCCCTTTGCAGTCTTCACAAGCCAGACAGAGGAAACACCACCTCCCTTCTCTCCACCTGGTCTGCTGCTTGCTCACATAGGCCTAGAACCAACCCCAAGCCTTGATGCCCCCAGACCTTAGCACAGTTTCCTCTCTCCATTATCCAGGGATAGAGCAAGAAGAGCACAACAGTGTGCAGGCTCAGAGCCTTTGGCATGGAGCAAAGGATATCAGCTCCTAGAAGAGAATGACGCAGGCCATATTCTCATGCTCCTGGCTCGCTCAGATGAGCTGGGCTGGGGACTGTCACCTACATTCGTTTGGCACCGATGGTAGCATTTTCTTTGCCAAGAAAAGTGGCTTCTTACTCAAAATGAGCCCTTCCAGCCCTTGTATGTGTGATGACAGCCGCTCTGGATGGTGGCTTCATGATTGAAGGAGGGGAATCTCCTTGCGTACCCTTAATTTAATTTTCTTACCAAGAAGCTAAAATCTATTCTTTCTTTGCCAAACTGAAAAATATTAACACAACCAGATTTGGTTGAGGAGGTTGAGATTTAAATTTGGATAGTGTAAAAGGAAGAGAGCTCATTGTAATTAATTTCACCAAGATCCACGTGACCCTCTCTGGGCAGGGAAATCTGGAGGAGCTTAAGGTAGACCTGGGAAAGACCCTGCAGGAGTGAAACGGAAGGACCCAGAGAGGTGGGCTCACCCCAGGGGCTGGGCCGGTCTTACCGGGAGCAGTTGTATTCATTTCACTCTCAAACATTGATTGGTCACTAGACCCTGTTGGGCAGACCCCACCCCCACCCCACCCCCCCGCCGCATGGAGCACAACACAGTTACCCCTGAGGAAGTGAACATAAATCAATATTGGTTCCTCTTATCAAGGTCCAGCTGAGAATGAGATGAGAATGATGGGAACTTCTTTAAGCTTCTCGCTCTTTCTCCTCAGCCCAAGCTGGTCACTGTCGTAGAAGCAACATTCCATTCTCACCCACGGTTCAACCTCCAGAACATGGAAATGGCAGGGGCCAGCCAATCACAGGTTATAAACCCATGAGCTTGCAAGAGGATTTCTTCCAGCATCCTCAATCAATGTGTACCTTTCCCAATTTCAAAACATGTAAAAAGGTAAAAAGGCAACTCTACCCGCCCAGAGATTTTTTTCCTACACCTCTTCACTGGGAAAAAAAGATGATGCTTAATCTGAATTCTTGCAGTGGCAACACAAGCCCCTTTCTCACCCATCCTTAGCTGTTCTAAACGTTTCACTTCTTGCTTAAACACTGTATCTTGTGCTGTTGGCCAGATATCAAGAGACAAGGGTGCTGCCTTGATCCTGCTGCAGCCTTCTTCCTTGGCTCGCTTGGTCCTGTCTGCCTTGTTCAGCTCTCCCTGGCACCATCTGCTTCTTACTCCTGTGGCTTTTTTTGCACTGGCTGGCAGGCCATGGCTGGTATGTCCTGGAGCCAAGGGTCGTGAGTGCTATTAATGACAGCTCCTGAGGGAAGCAGACGGACCACCGTGGGAGATCCCCGTGTTCTTGGCCAGCACCTTGTGTTGAGGGCTAAGAATAGACCACATCGGAAATGAGCAGGCAGGACCTAGGGACACCTGCCCCACGCTGCCCCATCACATGTAGAACAGTGCGTAGGTACCAGGAGGAGAGTCTGGCCTTGTCAATCCCTAACAAAAATCCCAAGACCCCTACTCCTAAACATCATTCTCAAACCAACGAGGACAAAGAAATAACTTCCCTTTAGTATGGTGTGAAT